AGATACAAAACAGGTCCGAATCCGTCCCTGGTCTTACATAACAAGAGTAACACGACCGCACATACTCCATAATTCCCCTGGAAGTAAAACAAATTCTTGGAAATTCTTTGGGACGCCTCTCCTGCCGACCGAGGCTTCGTAAACACGATGAACTCCCTCCATGGTTTCACTACTGACACCTGTACACAACTTTTACACGCTCAAATCAACTGGGCAAAACCTCAAGGTGCTTCAGAAATATTCTACGAATATGTGGATATCCCTGAGTGCATACATTAGAGTAGCCGTGAACTGGGAGTCTGGGGCCTTGCTAGGTTAGTGATATTCAAAGATTATGGTGAAACTTCTCCTTTTTGATGAATTGTGAGTTCCACACTATGTCTGCTGAGAATGTGTGAAGGGTTACCACTCCTGCATAGAAAATTGTGGAACAAGCACCCGAGAGTAAGGACCCAACGATCTAATTCGAACTCGCCAACACTCGCATCGCAGTTAATACTCAGTCTAGGGACAGCGATATGCTACTCTACTAAAACGGAATGTACTGAGTGCAGACACCTACCGAGCCTGTAATGCGTGATAGCATAGGTATGGCCAACGCCCTGAGCTCCTCCAGTTTACTCGAGGGCTCCTTGACAGCATCTAACTGCCCACCATCGAGAGAAGAAGGAGGAGTAGAAACCGAGGATGACGAATCCATAACAAAAGCCAATAGTAACTAACATACGTTCGACAGATGAACTCTCTAGACTGGCCTTAAGAACAGAAACGCGTAACTTCGCCCAAAGCATGCAGTTAATGGCATGCTATTGTCACCAATACGGACAGCCAAGATCGCCCCTCCCAGCCGCGTCACTAAATTTCCCTCCATATTCACTAATATGATGCACTTTTATAAACCCAAGCACCGAATCAACGTGTATAATTTCTTTCCTCGGTCAAGTACATTCCTGAATGGTATACTATGCGGTTCTCCCTATACCCAGGTCGGAATATCCTAATCCGTGTGAGCCTAGAGATTGCCCTGTACCACATCCCCCGATATCGGCATTCTCTAAACCAGAACCCCTCCCCCATCCTGTTGGATCAATCTCCCACCACCCCTAAGAGGACCTTCCAGAAACGAACATCCACAATGGTCAAATCGATAAAACTGCAAGTCAACCACCCTAAGGTCCTCGGATCGATCCCTTTAATATACATATACTCCTTCCTGCCTTCTCCCTCCCACTAGTGCCAAGCTTATATAACCTTTCGAGTGGACAACCCAACATCCTCAGAAATCTGATCCGCAATTGATGACATGTACCCACCGAACCTGAGAATCAACCCTAATAAGCTCACCCCACCGTTCACGCGAAATTCAAGGATCCAAAGTATACTCATTACTCCACTCAAGAAGCGCTACCATCGTCAACTATTCGCTTTAGCCCCTACCGACATCCACGTGGAAACTCAACAGGTTAGTGGAAAATAACAGGGGCATTATCTCCCCGTTGAATAGTAGTAGTAGTAGACCAGGAAGTAGTAGCGATAACAGTAGGTTGATGATGACAAGGGTTCCCTGCCAGTCTCACAGCAAAGAAAGGGAACAGGAGTATTAACAGCGTAAGCAGCGCCTAATGATGGGGGTGATGCTGCTTTCACCTTCTCCGTGCGGCGAGAATGGCGTCCTCTGTAGCCAACACCCACAACTACTACTAATAGTACCACTAGTATGTCACCCAAATGACCAGTCATCGACATCAGCAGAAGTGGAAGTAAGAGGATAATCAATCGAGATAGACAAACAAACTGCGAAACGCCCCAGAAAAAAGTCAGAAAATTCCTGAATAATTTCCGCGGCGGGTAGAATTACTGCTGATGTGATACAGTCTACACTGCAAACCTTCGGGTGATGGTATAGATACAAACGACGACCACTGCGTCGAACGTTTTCTATATTAACAATATGATGATGCGAAGTGCGGAACGATCTAACGGGAAATAATCAACAACGAGATTTTGTCCAAGGACCGACTACTGACAACAGAATTATTATAGTCCAGGGCTAGGAGGGGTAGGTAGAGATGACCAAATCGTA